GAAGTTTTGCGCACATTTGTAACGGAAACGCAGCTAATGAGGCAGAATTTTGTAAATCATCGTGATGCTCACAAATGGCAGCGAACGTGAAAACATGTGAAACCTTCTGTGCTTTGCCTCAAACCCTCCATGGTAAATAATCCGAGTGACAAGAGAGAACAATCTGAACCTCCTGCCGTTTACAGTCTATTTGCTCTATTTTACATATTTACAACATTTCCTTTTCTCATTTAGGATGAAGTTTGGACAACGCTGCCTGCATCACATTCATATCTGCAAACACTCATTCACTCCCTGATGCTGTATGGAGCACAATAGAGCACAAAACACTGCAGTAAGTATTTCCGACTGACTCGTTTTTACATTGGGTGTTAAAAAAATCTCTTATTTAATATATATAATGGAAGTTTACAAAGCTACAAGTTGTCACACTCTCAACCAGCCAGACACGTTGATGTGAAGCTGAGGTTATAGAGGAACAAACATGTCGTGGAGGCCTCTGTGGTGAAAAAACATGAACGTTATATCAGTGCAAACCCACAGTGCAGCGTATCATCACAAACTAGCTGAGGAAATACTCGAGCTATGTTGGCAAAGCAGTCGGAGGGAAAAAACTGAATTAAACCCCAAAGAAATGGGAACACTGATTGTTCTGATGACAAATCAAACTTCATTTACATGCCATATTTCCTTCATCTGATTTCTATCTAAAGTATTTTTCCTTTTTCACATTTTGTCACATCAGAAACAAACTTTTATAAAAACAATTGAGATTTTATGTGATCAACACAAATTTTTCTGCGAAAACAGAATCTTACCAATTCAGTTTGGTCTAATTTCCTGTGCAAATATGGAATAAGAAAAAACTAACTTAGAAGTTACTTTTCAGCGAGATATAGGAGTTTGTTTTAAGTAAATAATACCTTTAAATTGATGAAAAATTACTATTTCCACTGGCAGATTACTTCACTTATAACATGGGAAAAATGTCATGGTGTAAGTGAAATATTCTACTAGTAGAACTAGAATTGGGTTGCTAGGTAACGGGTCGGGCTTAGCTGTCGTTGCTAGGTAACGGCACAAGGCCAGTGGATTGTGAAATATGTGAAATAATCTGCTAGTGGAACTAGAACTTTTTAAAATCCACATTTAGAAATAACTGACTTAAAACAAGCTGCTGTTTCTTGCTGAGAAGTTACAGGTTAGTTTAGTTTTATTTCAAGTGATATCTACACTAGAAACTCGATCAAGATTACTTATTACATCACAAGATTTTCTGTTTTTGTGGAGTGGAATAAATAAAAATCATGTTTAATGATTGTATTTAATGTCAGTACAAATTCCAACTGTTGTGACGTTGTCTGGGAACGTTAGTGAACAGAAAGCATCAGGAAGACAGACACACAGCAGACAGGTCAGGAAATAACGGAGAGGTTTACAACAACAAGATCTCACAGAGGACACATCAAGGAAAAATAAAATAAAAACAGTAAGACACTGCAGACGGAGAGCAGTAGTCAGTAAAAACAAAGAAATCATGGAAAAAATAAAAAGCTTGAGACTGTAGAAGACGTTAGACTGGGGTGGAGGTTCATCTTCAGCAGCCAAAGCATACAGATGTGTTAGAATGGCCTAGTCAAAGTCTAGACTTGCATCCATTTGAGAATCTTTTTTGAAAGACCATTCAAAGTGAGCTGGAGATATTTTGTAAAGAAGAATGTGCAAAAATTAGGTTATGTTTTGAAAACTAATACAGTTTAGTTCCACATATGAAGTAGCACAAATCTGATGTTTTTTTTTTATGTTTTTGAATGAAAGGACCGCAGTTGTACAGAACAGGATTAGGGTGACTGGAAAAAAAAAAGTAATACAATTTTTTTAAAATTCTGGCTTCTTTTTCTCTGAATCGGAATCATTTAAATTGTTTATGCACCATGCAGAAAATCTCGTCTTAAAACTCAAACATGCCAATTAAATCTGACAGGCTTTCAGTGAGGACAAAGAGCAGGTTTACAAATCCAACTACAAGGAATAAACACTTATGTGATTACTTTCATGAGCTAACAACATAATTAACATACACCTAAGAATATTTGATTATTTGGAATTTGACGCAGATTGACACAGAACCAAAATTATGAGTTAAAAGTCAAAATTTTATTAATTTTTTTTTTCCTGGCTTATCCTCTTCCATACATTTGGGCCATTCACACTGCTGTGGATATGCACAAAGATCCAATTTGCGTCGCATTCTGCTGTGTGAACGCTGCCTCATAGTTTCCATATGTAAGCTGCAATTATGCCATAATTATTTGTGTTGATCTTTCATTAAATCCTAATAAAACAAAATGAAGTTTGTAACTGGAAGTTGACAAAATGTAAAAAAAAAAAAAAGTTTGAGTATGAATACTTTTCAAGGCACTGTACAAAGGGATAACAACTGGTGGTCTGCTATGCTGTAATTGAGAAATGATTATTATAATCTTTGCACAGAGCCCTGATATGCACCAAAGCAGCGTAAAAATACCTGTTTAGCAAATAACCCTCAAACTACAGCGTCATGCTGCTCTGTGCAGGTCATAACAAGCTCTACGGGTATCTGCAGAACAATCCGGCAGATCTGTTCAGGACTAACATGCACAGAGCTGAGACAGACAAAAACAAGACCGATCCTAAAGAAAACACCAAAAAAAAAGATCAATAATGATCCTTGTTTTTGTAGGTAGCTTAACTCTGGGATGTGGCGTTTCTCACACAGGAAGACGGCTCTGATGCTTTCAGAGGATCTTAAGTGAAACCCTGTCACCACCTCTGTGGGAAGATGAATTGGGTTGAGATGGGATTTCATGCTCCAGTTTGATTTTACAGTGCATGCAGAACATTTACAGAACGAAAAACAAACACGTGCTCGTTTTCAGAAGGCCTCGTGTGTGGATACAATCTGATCACAGAGGATGAGGTTAAAACTTCTACAAGAATCAGTAAAAATCACATTCCTGGACTAAAACTAAATAGCAGTACTCTGCAAAAACACAAAATATTTCCTAGTGGTAATATCTTAGTACACTTAAAATAAGATAAAAATGACTTACAAGTAACTTTTCAGCAATATATAGGAGCTGGTTTTAAGAAAATAACTAAATGTTAATAAAAAAGTGCTAGTTTTCCTGGCAGATTAGTTCACTTATTGGAAAAATGTATTGTTACACATGAAATGATCTGCCAGTGGAAGTAGAACTGGGTTGCTAGGCGACAGGCTATGCTTGACTGGCGTTGCTAGGTAACGGCACAGAGCCAACTGTCAGTGGAATTAACTTTTTCTTTAGTATTAAGGAATTGTTAACTTAAAACAAGCTCCTATATCGTTCTAAAAAGTTACCTCTAAGTTAGTTTTGTATTATTTTTAAGTGTATTAATAGATTTTCACTAGAAACTAAACCAAAAGTATCGTGATTTGCAGTGTAGGTCATCAGATCAATCTGCTTTTATCTTTTTAGCTGGGGACAAACAGGAAGTTAAGTGCTACCACACCCGTCTGGTAGTTGTGCTGAAGGCGTTGGCTCACTAGCTACCTTAAAGGCATCACTTAAATCAAATCAAATCAAATTGAAAGCGCGAGCTTCACATGTAGAGAACATGCATCACAGTCCATGTGTCCTGGATTGTGTTTGCTACAGAAACAATATAAAAAACATTATTTTAAATAAGCCTGTTGTTTCTACACATGCACCCGACTGCATCAAGAACGTTTGGTTGGAAAACAAAACAAGGCAATACTGAAGCGGTATCTGAAGCGTTAGGATTACACAGAGGTGTAACAGCTTTAACATTCCCCTAAAAAACAACAACACTGAATTTATGGTGAAATAAAAGAAAAAAAAAAAAAAGCAAAATCAGACCAGCTCCAGCAGGGGTCGCTAACATTACAGACGGTTAAAGGGCAAATATCATCATATTGAAGAGGCAGAAAACTCAATATTTAAAGTACCTCACTTTCCAAAGTGAATAATTTTTTGAAACAAAAGAGCTTTTCAGGCCACGCCCCCTAAAACAGGAAGGCACAACCATATATGGATAATGTATTTTAGTTACTGTAGATAATGTATTTTCTGCACATAAATCTTTTGTTTCCTTGACAAAAAATGAACATTTTAAGGCACAGGTATTAAACTCGCGGCCCGAGGGCCAAATGCGGCCACTGTGACCATTTATGTGGCCCTCTAGACTGCAGAGAGCCACATAAATTGAACTTTAAGATACCAGTTGTGTACTTAAACATTTAATTAATCAAAAAACAAATCATGTATACGACCAAATTACATGAGTGTGAAAAGAAGTTAAAAAATGTTACATTTTATGAAGGACTAATTAAGTGTAGATAAGTTTCAACAGTTTAACGGTTAGTTTTATTAATACATTCTGCAACAACTGGTCTTTCTAAGACATTCATGATCTAGATGCGGCCAAAAATGAAAATGTTTGGCTTCCCTGTTTTAAGGCAAATATGTGGAAAGAGGATGGAGTCAGCATGTTTGCCACAAAGATATCCTATCATAGAAAAATTTGATTGAAATTCATAAATTATTTAAAGTTGACACGCAGCTCGAGCTGCTAGCAGTCGACAGCCAGACCACCAAGTTCATCAGGCTGGAACAATTTTTGTTACCAGTAACTGCAACATCTGTTCTTCATCAGCGTCTGAAGCCACTTGATGCAAACGTTGATGCAATCTTGTTGGTTGTGCAGGAGGCTTCACTTCTGCTTTTCAAAGAAGTGTGGTTGTAAAATGACGCATCTGTTTGCAGCAGTACGTGGATTTGTTGGGAGGGGTGACCAGCTGCAGCTTATATGGATTTAAAGAGACAGAGCCCTAAAACAGCTCATTCTGAAACTGGGCAGACTAAAATCTCATCATCTAAGAATAATTTGTGCAAAAAATGAAATGAACATGTTTTGTTTAGGCCATAGACCGACCATAACCTGTTCAAGGAAGCATTATAGGTCATCTTTAATAATAATGATATATGCCCTTTAAACTCAAAATGATTGTTTTCTTCAATCAGAATAAAAGGGGAAAAGTCTGTTTGACAGACAAAATTTCACATCTGGGAAGTAAATTAGATATTTTTGAATTAAGAAGATCCATGATTGATGATTCGCACCTCTGATCCCGAAAGGTGGCTCCACAAAAAATGACGTTTTTCCCTCCTCCACAGTCCTTCTTCGGTAATAAGATCCACTGTGATGTGGTGATCTAGACCAGGTGCTACATAAACACACGGACGTACTGGAAGCTATAATCTGTGCAACACCAGCTAATTCGAGTGACGTAATCCCCACATGTTGGAGACGGATGGATTCTGCCCAGAAGTGAGTAACGTGTGATGGCGGTTTGGGCGGAGAGAGCGCCGTCCCCTCCGCTGTCCTTCCACATCCCCCCGGCCGCACTGATCACTTCCCCAGACGAACGTATTCGCCTGGCCAGATCACTATTCTACCCAGCAGCCAATGCGCAGTAGTAATAACTTCCCCAAGCTTGACAGGCAACCGTGTGTTACAGGCAGATTAGATATCGTTACAGTTTCACTTCCTTCACGTAATTCCCAGGGAAAGTCCCAAACTGTTTTGTCCTCTTTGATGTGCCTGTGGAGGAAAACAGGAAAACGGGAGTAAGTGACGGGATTGTGCTGCAGAGAAAGTTACGCTGTCATCCATTAGAAACTCTATATGGAGCAATGTGACCCAGCGACGCATGGTCCTCCCTCTGCAGGAGGCTTCATGCATGCTGTGTATGGCAGGCCATTTTAACATAAAATCAATTTCACTACACTTACATTGCAGATATCTGAAACTGGTTCATGACTAGATGTAATGGTAAATAAAGATATCTCTTTATTACATTCTGACTAGTATAAATGAGGTTAAATTTACCATTAAAGGAGACCAATAATCCAAAACTCACATTTTGTACCTTTTCTACTTCCATTTGGGTTTCTACTGCTTCTAAAAAACTCAAGCACTTAAAAAAATAGCCAGCTTTTTTGGCAATAAGTTAATGTTTCCAAAACCTTTTTGAGTGCAACATTACAAGTCAGTAATGATGAGGTGTCCCTCAGCCAGCTACCCCATCCCGTTACCTAGCAACCTTAGCAGAGTTCCAGCACGTTTGGTCAGCTGGTTTTATGGCTTTATGTCCCGTACAATGGCTACTGGAAAAGACGGTTGTTTTATTGTTGAATTACCATCCAGAAAACACTCATTGAATTTTCTACAAGCTTATTTGATTTTCTTCCAATTCCTGTATTAGTGTTTTATTATTAAATCAAAGTTTATTGGTCGACCTTGCATTAATACGCCCTTATTAATATGTTACTTGGAAATGGTTTCAAATCACAATATTAATCACAATAATTACTAGTTACTCATCTCATTTTTAGATTTGTAGAATGTAATTACAGATAAGCCGATCACGATAACAAATTTAGCTGGATGATAAATCGTCCCAGAAGTTATTGTGATAAATGATAATATTGTTTTGAGAGAACTGAAGGAATGTAATGGTAATCTGGTACACATTTTCAAAGACCAATAAACTTTAAATTTTAATTAATATTTATCACTGGAACAGGAAGACTTTTTAAATATTAAAAATAAATAAACAAAACAACAAACAACAAATAAATGAATCATGAAGTCTCTCTAATCAAAATTGTCCTTCAAAAAATGTCTAGTTGAGACCAAAACACCAGACTGAAGACTTTTATCATCTAGTTTTTGGTAGAAAAAGAGAAAAGCAATAAATCGTGCAAATGGAAATTTCATGTGACTGATTTATTGCGACAGGCTGATTTTATGTTAAAATGGCTTGCCATGTGCTACAGTGTCTGCAAGCCTGTGCTGTCATTGTGCAGAAACCCTGTATGGATTAATGTCCTGCAGGACGTACCGACAAACCAGCCGTCATCGCATTTTTCCATGACACTGACGAGATCTCCCTCCTGCAGCTCCAGCTCGTCGTCATTCTGAGGCACATAACTGTACAAAGCCTGGAAACTGCAGCGGCGACACAGAGAGCACTTTGTTAAAACCAGCAGACCGGCTACGTCTAATGAAAGGAGGGGGAGGGGCTTCAGCTGAAACGCAAAAATAAAAAACAAAAAAGTGAAACTGTAAATAAATGTCACTCACATTCCACAGCTGAGACGGCTCGGCTCCGGGCTGCTGCTGTGGGACTGGGGTTGCTGGGAAATGATGAGACATGGTTTACTGGGGTGGGGGTGCAGTCTATGGAGAGAGTCATTATGGTGGTGGGACAGGGTGCTGCAGTACCTCACTGAGGTCTCAGCAATATTCAAGATCTCATTACACACTGCCTCCTGGTGGGAGCAGGAGTCGCCAGAGAGACATACAAGAGTCCCGGAGGAGGCCGAGGTCAGGGGGAGGTTTAAGGAGTTAGAAAGAGGTGGGGGAAGGGAGTCCGGTACGAAGCAAAGGCAGGAAAAAATGGGGAATACGGGAGTAATCCATTCAAAGCCAGAAGAAAAAGTAGAGATGTTGGTGAAGCCCAGGAGGAGAGGAATGAAACACCAGAGTGGGAGCATGGAGACAGGAAACATGAGACCGTTAGTTCATCGTTACAGGATATTAGTCAGTGTGAGCATGCAGACTTAAAGGGAAGCAGGTGGCCACAGATAGACGTTTAAAGGGACAGTACTATGTTTTCCAGGCACATAATGCCAGTTTTGTTTACCAGGCACAAATAAGTTTATAGCACAATCAAAGCAACCTTCAGTTGTCATAAAAATGTTATTTAAAATTTGACTTAAAAACTCCTTCTCTTTCTGAGACTCCTCCTTCAGGAAGGTATCACGCTGCTCCTCTATTAACCCTTTAATAACGTTTTTACCAGGATTTCACTGAGAAGTAGCTCCTATAATGAGCTCAGCAGGTGTCTGCTAATTGCTGCTGGCTAGTCTGAAGGAGCTGACTGGGGAAAGGACTGCTCTGTAAAGTGGAAGCTTGAAAACCCCCAATTATGAGCTAGAAAGAAATAAATGTAACTTTCAAAATCATAATTTTAGCTTTCAAAGTCATAATTATAAGATAAAAATTATAATAAATGAGATGGAAAGTAATAATTTTGACTTTTGAAGTAAATTTTGAAGAAAGTCACTTTGTTTATCTAAGGAAGGTTGCTTGAGTATTTCATAATAATAACTTTGAAAGCTAAAATTATGACTTCCTCGAGGGCGGCGCTAAGTCCAACCTGGCGTTTTGCACCAGTGAATGGTTTCCATGGAGATTAAAGGATTTCTGAAATGTGCAAGCAACACTCCAGGTTTGTTTGTGACGCGGGAAAAACATGTTAACACGATGGAAAGCTGAAAAAAAGTCAATTTTACATAATGCTGCCCCTTTAAGACAGTAATTCATTTTCTTCCTAAGAGTCACATAAACTGTTTTATATCAAATATACAGTTTATTTGTTCATTTATTAGCATCAACCACTAGCTTCCACCTAAGTGGAATAAGCAATAATTCAATTAGTCGCATAATGAATTAAAATGAGCTCATTAATTTCCATTCTGATTATTAATATTGTTTTGAAGGGCAATTTTTGTCAGCTGCTCCTCTGAATTCTATAACTTTAAAATTATACACATAAAAACATATTGCTCGAACATCCAGAAGCCTCATGCAGCCTCCAGGTTAATATATTGGACACAGACACAGGAAGCAGCACAAAGATTCAGTCATGATTACGAGCCAGAAAGAAATAATTGTAACTTTCAAAATTTTAATTTGGGCTTTAAAAGTCATAATTATAAGATAAGTTATGAGATACAAAGTCATAATTATAATGTTTGTAAAATCATAATTATAAGATATAAATAATAATTATGAGATTCAAAGTCATAATTCTGTCTTTCAGAGTCACAATTTTGAAAAGCAAAGCAATAATTACGAGACATAAAATTATAATGTCTTTTAAAGTCTTTTTTTTTTAAGTCAAAATTACTTTTGGGATTTTAATTTTTCTTTCATGGGATAAATGGGCTTCCATACACTTTTTTTTTATTTTTTACATCTATTAGCTAGGACATGCTTTAGTGTGCAGCATATGTTTAAAAACGTAAAGTTGTTTAATTTTATTAGTCATCTGTAATCTGAAGGATGGTTTTTGACGCTTAGGAAGAAAACAAATCAAGAGTTTCCCTAAATGTCAAACTTTTCTGGATGAATTGTTTGTTGTCATGAGGCACAACTTTACACATAATGGAAGTTAAAGATGAAGTGAGTTTAACGGCGTTTTGCTCAAAGTGAGATTTTCTTACCGCAAATGAGTTAACGTTGTTGTTCTCCTGGATGTCGTACGGCATCACGGGGCTCCTGGAGATCCGTCCCAGATGGTCGGCCTCGTTCTTCACAAACTGCAACACACACACATCACCAACGTCTTTTAATAAAAGTTTAGATGACTGAGCTGAAACCTGTGCGAACCCCATGTCAACCTCACAGCAGATTTATTCACAAAAATCGCTCGATTAAATGGATTAACTCACGAAAGACCTCAAAATCAATCTTGGTTTTTGGCGCCATGTTTTTCTCCTCATCGCGTTAACATTTTTCTCGTTAAATTCACCGCTTTTCCGTCATCACATCCTCACCTTTGTAATATATCAGTTTCTGAATGAAAAGTTTCAGCTGGACTTAATAAAGTGCTATTAATGTGAATCTTAAGGAACTTATGGTTTATATTTAAAAACAGAACCGCATCTAGTGCATTATTCATCCCACATCGGACCGTTCCCAGTTCCGGTTCGGCTGACATC